GCGGTGGTGGCCTCTCATGCTGCGGCGCCCGCTGGCCGGGCTGGCGGCGGCCGCCCTGGGCCGCGCCCCCTCGGACGGTGAGTGGTGGCCTGTCCGCGAGGGGCGAAGCGTCTGGGTGCGCGCAGGTCCCGGAGGGCCGTCCCGGGGGCCGCCGCGGCCCCGCGCGTATAAGCAAGCATTCGCATTCAGTCTTCTTCCTGCACCCGGGACGCCGCTTCCCGCGTGCCTCAGGTTACGTCAGGGGTTCCTAGGACTGGCTCGTCGCCGGGTCCCAGCGAGCAAGACAGAGGATACGAGGACAGACAGGGTAGCGCGTTTTTTCATGCAGGTGAATTGACTTCATTTAAAGGGCCGCACTACGTTTTGAAGTTGTGTTCTATGTGTTTGGGTGTTTTTGTGTTAAAGTTGCTTCTGGTGGCTGTTTTTCTTAGGCACATTAAAAGCTGGTTCCCCTGTGTCAGTTCTCAAAACGTAGGAGGAAATTCTGTCACTAGAAGCTCCAGACAGTTTGTAAAAACCCCTGCAGCCTGAGGACTTCATGCTGGATGCCATTGTGGACCCTGAAGGATGCGGAGGGGCAGAAAGGGGAAGCAGCCTGACACTCCTCCCCAAGGTGGGCCACACAGCAGAGCCGAAAACCCTGGGAGATGAGGGTTCCGAAGGACATTACTGGCCGTCTGGGGAGCTCGTATAGCAGAGTCCTAGCCACCTTGTAGTAACGTAGTGTCTTTCCCGAGCTCAAGGGAAACCCTCCTGGTGGTCCTGGGCACGTGGAGCTGACTGCTCTGAGGGCCCTTAGGACTGCTGCAGGTTCCTGGCCTGCTTCACAGTTTTAGATTCAGATTCTGCGCCCAAGAGCAGATCGCTGGGGGCAAGACTTCCTGACTCATGGGTGTGGTAAATTGAGGTTCAGCTTCCCTCAGTTTCCGAGACCTCAGATTTCGATTGCTGGAGCTGCCCAATGTCTAAGAATGTGGTTCTTAGACATTCTTCTAGGAGCAGAGAGGTAGTGAGCCTAGTTCATCCATGTGCTGGTTTGGGGAGGAGCAGTGAAGCATGTCACATCATCCGTCATCACTGTTGGCTTTCACTGGGGAAGAGGGAAACTATAAGCTGAGGTGACAGCTGCTTAGTGTGGGATGGGGCCCACAGGACAGGAGGGGGGTGGGCAAGACTTGACCTTTGCAGTCAGCCTCACCTGAGTCCCCCAGGCGGCATGGCTACCCAAATGTGGGCTTTTCTGGACTTTTCTGTCACTCTTAGACTTTCCAGGCTATGACTTATGAGGAACTTGAGAAAACGTTCCCATTCCCTGCCCCCCCGGAGGGATTTCAGGTGGGAGGGGATTTCCTGTCTTAACCACTGACAAGCTAAATTTCCTGCCAGGTGAGTCCCCACCCTACCTCTGCTAATAACTCCATACACCTGCCTGCAACACCAAGCCCGCTCACACCCAGGTCAGTGCCACACCTGTGACAGGTGCAGCGTGCCTGGGCTTTGTTGAGTTCGATTTCAGACCTAGCCCTTGACTTTTGGCTCAGAAGGGTGATATCAGCAGTTTCCTTGAGGAGCAGATTCCAGAAGTTCTAGCAGTGCACTCAGTATGTACCTTTCTCTTAAGCCACACCCAAATTCTTTTTTTCTAACACCTAAATGGTATATTTCCATCTTTTGTGGCATATTTAGCATATTTGAAAAAACATGCTCAGAGCAGCAGAAATGAAGGGGGTGTTGTGACTTGGTTGGGAGTGGGAAGAGGTGACTCCAGCCCATGAGAAGCAAAGGTTAGTAACAGGGGTGAACAGCTGGGAACACTGGCGTGGGGGCAGGCGCTCCTGTAGTCAGCTCCAGGTCTCCCCTGGTCCCCTGTTGACCCTGCCAGTGCAGGTCTCAGTTTCACCTTTGTAAGGCTGAGACTGACCCACGGAGGGCCTGGGCTCCTCTTGCTTCATAGCTCTTTTCCTGGGAGCCAAAACTTCTGTGCCTCCTCTGCCTTCTACCCGTGAGGCAAAATTAGGATCTGGTGCAGGACAATCCTGATCCTTCTTTATGCAAAGAGACTCGGATGTGCCGTGCCAGCACCAGGACAGGCCCAAGTCCTGCACTGTGTGGTTCTTGCCCATGTTTTTGAAAGCCCAGCTTTCTCAGGATAGGAATGGTCCAGCCCCACTGTGGGAAGTGAGAAGGCCACTTTGTGGCTGTCCCAGTTCAAGCCGATTCCCAAAGGCCAAATGGTTTGTCAGGGCTACTTGGTCAGGACATGTTCCACATGCAGAGCACTGAGGCTAAGGCCAGGCTGGTTCTCCTGCCCCACATGGCCTCTTTGGGGGATGGGGCATGACCTGCTGTCCTTAGGCAGATCTCTTCCCACCTTGTGGCTAGTGGTTTAAAAGAGGACTGCTAGGACTTGACCTTTCCTCCCTGTGTTCTCAGGTATCACACCTCATCCTGGTGTCTTGTAGAGAAATTGGGAGGGAAGTGGGGTGGTGACAGTGCCCAGCCCTCGGGAGAGGGTGGGCCACAAGAGGAAGCCAGAAAGAGGGGGTTCTACCTCATGCTTCTGGAGAAGAGCCACCTGGCCGTATAGGACGCTTCTCAGGTGTGCTTCCAGTGGAGAGCATTCTGGAACACACGGGCTTGCGTTCTGGGTCCTTATTGCAGTCCCATGTACTTTCCTGTTTCTTGCTGTCCAGCTGGGGTTTGGGATTGTGAGGTCGTTGGGGAGTAGAGGACACAGACTGCCCTGAATGGAGGGCTCTATCTTCCCAAGAGATGACCCCTCTGACGTGTGCATTTCAGTTAACCAGTTCTGCAAGCACCAGAGTGCTTGATCACTGGGGCCCCGAAGCCTAGAGCACTGTCTTACACTAGGTGTACTGTGGATGGTGGCTATAGTGATCACTCTGTCACAGCAATCACCAAACAGAGTCCCATCTCCAGCAGCTCAGCGGCAGGCTGGGTGTGACCATGGGTTGTGGGGTGCTAGGGCAGGGCACCACCTTTGGCAGGCACAGGCTAGAGCAGAATGTCTATGAGGGGCTTCTGTGCAGGCAGGAGGGGTGGGCCACCCTCCCTTCCTTGTGCCTCTAGTCCCCCAGAGGGTGCCTCCTAACATCCCTGATGGAGGTGGAGAGACCTTGGGTTCTCCCCTCCCTGGAGGTGGATACCCCAAGTTGGGTGCTAGGGGCCCCAGCACCCACTGAGTTGAGGGTTTGCTGCTATGATCAAGGCTCAAGCAGGCCTCCTGGTCCATCGCTGCGGCTGTCACTGTGTGTTCCCTTGCCCTGGAAGAACTCACATTCCTGTGGCAGCAACACACCATCAGGTTCAAGGGGTCTAGGCCACTGGACAACCACAGCTGCCTGGCCCGAGGGGCAGGGACTCAACACTGTCCAGAGGCTAGGCAGTGTGGTGGGGCAAACCCCAGCCTCCTTAGTCCCCCTTGGGACTTGGTGGTGCCCAGCCTCTCCTCTTCCATCCTGTGTCCCTCCCTCTACTCCCCTCTTCAGTTACTCAGTGCCTAGGAAGTCCAGATAGACCCAGGAGACTGGGTTGGGCTACCCACAGGACATCTGTCTTGTAAAGGATGGGGCTTTGTGAAGGGTGCCAGTGAGGGAGAGATGACACTTCTCATGCACCGCGCCTCTGGGGGACAGGGCTGTGGGGACAGCTGGCAGTCGCCATGAGCTTGGAGCCAGGTACATGTGAGTGCAGGCATGCAGGTGGCATGTGTGGTGGCACGTGTGTTTGGGTGGGAAAGCTCGGACACCAGAGAGGAGCTGGGAGTCTAGCGGGAATATCATTAGAAACAAGGTACTCTTGTAACAGGAAACTCGCAAGAGACTGAGGAGCTAAGAGTTGGTCACATGGAGATGACACTCACTGTGTTGATGGGTTCTTCTAGGTCCCTTCCTCCTCCTGTATCTGTCTCCCACCTCCTTCTCTGCACATGTGTGGAGTGCGATGGCCCCAGAATAGCCATGCTTTAGCAAGATTACCCACTTGGCCTATATTGCAGATTAAGAAAGCACTGCCCACAGGGTGGGGGCGGGGGGGGCCTGCTAGAGAGCTGCCCTGGGTTGGGTGTCCTCAGGCCAAGTGGCTTATCCCTCCAGGTCCTCACTGGTGGTCTGCTGGCCATTGACTGTGCCTTGGGGGCCTTCACACCTTACCAGAGGGCCCCCAGGGAGCCCTGCAGGGGCAGGCTGGCGTAAGGAGCTGTTCCAGTTCCCACTTGCCCTCCGGGGGTCTCCGTCTGGAGCAGGGTGCACCTGCACGTGGCCTTCCTGCCATCACGCTTGTGGCTGGGAAGGCAGGCTGCCTCTCAAGGGCCAGGAGCAGCCTTCTCTCTAGTACAGAGCAGGTGGGGCTGACTGCCTTGGGAGGGTTTTAGTGCTAAGAGGCAGGAGGAGGCTGGGATTATCAACCCCTCCCAGCTCATCCAGAGCAGCCCAGGCTGACCACGGCTGCAGCACCCCACTCAGGAGGTGCGTCCTGCCCTGGGGAGGGAGACTGGGGGTGTCAGGCAGGCACAGAGCTGACTGGACCCATGCCCCTCAAAGTCCCTCTCCCATTCTCACCTGGGGCAGGCATCTACGTCTCTTGCTGTGGGGCTGAGAGGAGGCCACTGCTGCCCTTCTGCTGGCTTCCCAGCAAGTATCAAAGGTTGGGGGAGGGAGGTCAGGAAGCTGTTGTCCCTCGGGATTGGCCCCTCACTTCCTGATGAAGGTTCCTGGAATAGGGCTTGGGTTCCACTGACCTTGACCATGGCTGCCTCTAGGGCATAGTGCCAGGAGACGCAGGGGTGGGGACCCAGACATGCTCCTCCCAGGAGCAGAAGTCCAGGCTCCCCAGGTGGGGTCAGAATAGACACCTGGAGAGGCCATGTGTTTGTGGTACTGAGTAGCCCACTCCTCGGGGAGGTGCAGCCAGGATTTGAGTACAGTCTTCAGTTCCGTCTGATTCCTGGGGAAAGTTGGGGTATGTGTGACTGCAGCCACCCCACCCACTGGAGTCCCTCAGGCCTGCTGATATGTGCCCCCACTCGCCCACAGGGATGTCAGGACCAAGGCCCGTCGTCTTGAGTGGACCATCAGGGGCTGGAAAGAGCACCCTGCTCAAGAGACTCCTGCAAGAGCACAGCAGCATCTTTGGATTCAGCGTGTCCCGTGAGGCTCTAGGGGATTGGGGGCCCTGCCAATCCCCCTGAAGCCCCCACACACATGGGGATGTGCCTACCCAGGAGCCCCCTTCACACACAGGGGGCATGCCTATGCTGCTAAACCCCTGGAGCCTCCCACAGCCCCCACACACAGGCTAAGCTTGGCCCTTTGGAGAGGCCCTGGGGATGGGATGTGAGGGCTCTAGATATCCTAGGTGAGTCACAGGTGCTTGTTCCTAGACACCACGAGGGACCCGCGGCCTGGAGAGGAGAACGGCAAAGGTGAGCTGGCCCTGCCTCTTGGTGCCCCAGTACCGGCCTGGAGCTGCCCCCTGCCTGTTGGGGTATTGATGAGGCCTCAGTCTCCCCATCTGATGGGGATTCTCCTCCAGGGTGGGTGGATGGGCAAGTGCTGGCACCAGATGTCCATGTGAGATGCAGGTGGGGACCCTGATCCTAGCACCAGGCATCTGTGGGGTACTGCTCCCAGCGTGTGCACTGTTCTCCGCACGGCCTGTTGATAAAGTCACAGCCATGCACTGCATTTAGGGCTTTCTGACATCACAAGCATTCTCTGTAACCTTAATAGGGCATTTGTGCCTGAGACAGGGCATCAAAGTTCCCCCAACCTCCCCTGTGGAATCCTGCAGTCTCCAGGCCCCCCTTGGTGAGGACAGTGTAAGAAGAGGTGTCTGTATGTCTGTCTCCTCAGACATCTCTCCCTGCCCAGTAGCCAGAATAGCTCTCACTGCAGATGGACAGATGGGCAGACAGGCCCAGGACAGAAGCTGGTTCTGTGTGGTCCCATGGACCCTGGTGGTCTGGGTATGGGCAGCCTTGACAACTTCTGCTCCTTGCAGATTACTACTTTGTGACCAGGGAGGTGATGCAGCGGGACATTGCTGCCGGGGACTTTATTGAACATGCTGAGTTCTCTGGGAACCTATATGGGACCAGGTGAGCAGAGCTCAGGACCCTCCCTCCCACCTTCCTTCCAGCCTCCTGGGGATGTAGAATGGGCAGCTGGGACAGGGGCTTCGCTCTTCGGGCTGTCGAAATGAGGGACCCAGCCCCTCTAAGGGTTGAGATGGAGCGGCAGCCAGGGCTCTGGCCAGGCCACTGTGGGAACAGGGGGCCACTCCATGGGCTGGTATGCAATGAGGACCCAGGGGACCTGGGTCTCAGAGGTCTACAGGCTACACTGAAGCCCCCCTCCCCTCCCTTCCAACCACTGGGGCCTCCTGGGAGGGTCCCAGGCCCAGCAGTAGCTGTACCCCTCACCCCACCCCCACACCCAGAGCAGTGTCATTGTATAGGCTGGCCAAGGCTTGCTGTGTGCAGCCTGTTCCCAAGCCCCCCACGGGACCATCACGTTCTACCCCAGGTGCAGCTGGGAAGGGCAGCCAAGCCAGCCCCTGAAATGGGGCGCTGGAGCTGCAGGAGCCAGGATCCCTGGGCCCAGCAGTGACAGCCAGGGCCCTCCTGCCCCTTCTCACTGTGGCCCCCAGCCCAGCAGAGGGCCTGAGTACAAGAGTTGCTGGGGGAGTGCTTCCGTAAAGGGGCACAGATGGGATCAGGGTGGGCCTTTGCAGGGCCCCTAGCCAGGCCCAGAGCAAGGGAGTGGGGAAAGCAGGAGCCCAGGGCCGAAGGTGGGGTTACTAAGGCCTGAGGAGCCCGGGCTGAGTGGCCGCCCCTCCCCTCTGGCCACCCCCAGCAAAGCGGCGGTTCGCGCTGTGCAGGCTATGAACCGCATCTGCGTGCTAGACGTGGACCTCCAGGGCGTGCGCAACATTAAGAAGACCGACCTGCAGCCCATCTACATCTTCGTGCAGCCGCCCTCCCTCGAAGTCCTGGTGGGGGCCTGGAGCCTGGGCAGGGGTGGGGCCGGGGCCGGGGCCAGCACCAGCCAGGCTGGGGCTGCTCTTCCATGGCTGCTCTGCGGGCTCTGACCCTCACATGCTCCTCAGGAACAGCGTCTGCGACAGCGCAACACAGAGACAGAGGAGAGCCTGGCCAAGCGCCTGGCCGCTGCCCGGGTAGACATGGAAAGCAGTGAGTGCCTAGCCAGTGTCCCCCACTGTCCCTCGTGGCAGACTGACTCACTCATTGGAGGGAGAAAGTAGGGGCAGGGGCAGGAGCTGTCACCCATAGTTCCCCCACCCCTCACTGAGCCTGCACTGGCCCTGTGCCCCACTCACCCCCAGGCAAAGAGCCCGGCTTGTTTGACCTGGTCATCGTCAATGACAGCCTGGACAAGGCCTACTGGACCCTGAAGGAGGCACTCTCTGAGGTGGGCTCTCCGAGGTGGGCTGGGGTGGGGGGGTGGCTAGACTTCTGTCTCTCCTAGGAAAAGAGCCTGGGATGGGACATGTGGCCCAGGCCCTAGACATGCCCCTCTATTTTTCTTTCCTGCAGGAAATCAAGAAGGCTCAAGGGACTGGCCTCTCCTGAGGAGGCTGCTACCTGTGTCCTCCCTGGATAGGGCCCTGCATTCCCCCTGGTGGTCAGGGTGTTTATGAGAGGTGGCTCTACCTGCCTAGCTCGCTCCCTCCACCCATGCCCATTTCTGGGTGCCCCCTACTCAGTCCCCCTCTCCTGTGGGAGCTGGGCCGGTGTCCTAATAAAGAGCTGCTGGTTAGAGTGTCCTTGAGCCCGTGGATGGCCTCTCAGGCCCGGCACCCTCCGTGCTGGACCCCGACCCTCCTGACAGTCCCACCCCTCAACAGCCAGCCCCAGGAAGGCAGAGAGTATCAGGTCCCATTCTAGTCTGCTGCTCTGAGCTGCTGGCTAGTGAGGCTGCCCCCTAGCTGCACCCTATTTCCATGCTCCCCTCGCCTAATCCCCACCAAGGACACCAGGGTCCCCAGCTTCCCCACACTCCAACTCCATGTCAGGGGACCAGCTGGGGCTGCCTTCATTGGGGGTCCCCCAGGGCTGGGCTACTTCCTGGCGGGTGGGCTCCCTCCACCCCCAAGAGTGGGCAGGGCTCCTGGGGAGCATATGCCTCATACTGTCTCATCAAGGTAGCTTGAGGCTGAGGAGAAGAGGCCCTGGGCTCTCATCCTGCTTTAGCCATTCCTCATGGTCCCTGATCCAGACAAGGGGTACCCAAGGGACAGATGCTACTGACCTGGGAGTAGGGTGAGACTTCAGGGACTAGACCTCTGCATCATTGGGGCCTGTATGTGCCATATGCTCCCAGCCTTATGCACAGCCAAGAGTCTAGCTGGCCCAATGGTCTGGGAGAGGCCAACACAGGAAGGACACCCGGGGCCTCTTGTGGTTTCAGGATCCTGGAATCTGAGAAGGCACCTACCGTACTGCTCATTTGGGCCAGAGCAGCTGTGGTGGGCTGTGGTGTGGTGGTCCATGCCCAGGCCACACTCCTGCGATGGGACCAAGACACATAGTGGATGAAGACCCAGAGGCGGCAGGTAGCCCAGATGGAAATAGTTGGAGAGACTGGGCATCATCCAAAAGCCCAGATTCACAGATGAGGCCTGGCGGGAGCTGGGGCTGGGTGCGGGACAGTGGGCAAAGGCACTGGGCAGTGCCCCCAGGCCTTAGGGCAGGTGAGACAGGGCTGGGCTGCCTCCCAGCCCACTGTGCAGCCTGGGGGAGGCCCCTTCCCTTTCTTGGCCCTGTACAGCCCCATGGACAATTGAGGATTCAGACGCTGGGCCTTGAGGGGAACAATGGGGCCCTTGAAGGCCCTCCCTCTATATTGTGCTTGGTAGTGAGAGGTGGCCCTGGGTCGGGCCCTGGACTCTGCTGGGTAGACACCCTTGGAGGCCAGTGTCTTACCAGCCGGCAGGTGGAAGGTCTCAGAAGAACTTGGATTTTCTGGCTTGAGAAAGGTAGGCTGCTATCTGGGAAACCAGGTGTGGGCTGCCCTTTGGAGCAGAGCAGTGTTACCCTTCCCTTTAGGCCAGGTTCTCGGGCCGGGCTGGCTTCTGAAATCTAGCCCCAGGAGATGACAGGTGCTGGGTCTGGCTGGGTGTCCCTCCATTCTAGGGGTCTGTCGCAGGCCTACCGTCTCATAAACAGGTCCTGACCTGCAGAGTCTTCTAGGACAATGAGACCTGAAAGTAGGGGAATGTCGAGCTATTGGGACTGTTAAGGCCAGCTGATGAGCAGGGAAGGAAGGAGTATGTGCCCAGCACCTCCCCCAGCAGCTAGGGCCCCTCAGGCTGTGCAAGACTGTCCAGCCCACATTAGTCAGGCAGCTACAGTGTGTCCAGAGGCTGGGGCCTTGGGCCATTTAGGCCTAGGGGGAATTTCAGAGCCCCACCTCTATACATGGCAGATGAACCAGAGTGGGCCCACCTGCCTTTCCTCTGCACTGCTGACCCAGCTTCAGCCAGCCTCGGCGTGACCTGGGGCTTCCAGTCCTTAAGACCTCACAAGTACCTGCTGGGTCCCAGATCCTCAGGTCTGGCCCCCAGGGCCAGCAGAGAGCAGAATAGACCCTTGTCCTCCAGGAGGGCCCCCCAATATGCCGCAGACATGGTGAGTGACTTGTCGGGGTGGGGGACAAGGATGAGGAATGGAAGTGGGCAGGGGGCCCTGCAAGTGGCCAGCAAGGCAAAGGGGCACTGGCACATCCAATAGTGACCAGGGCTGCTGCACTGGTGAGGGCTGTGCCTGCCCGAGGCGTATGGTGCACTGGGCTGTAGGGGGAGCAGATGGATGTGATGGGTGGGGAAACTGAAAGAAGGAGTGATGCCATACTACCTGCTGAGAAACAGTGCTGGCTCTGGTGGCTTTACCCAAGGCAGTTTACAAGAAGGGGATGGGGGTAGGGTGGGATTAAGGAGAGCTAGAGAGTATGGGCACCCTGCGGGGGTGGGGCTCCATGTCCTGCCCTGGGCCCACAGTGCCCGGAGAGGCCTGGAAGCAGCACCAGCATGGCTGCTTGAGCTGTTTGGACTGTGCCACGATGACTCACTCCCCAGGCCCGACCCTATTGTTCCTTCACCCTTTGGGGAGGAATGCCCCTCGCTTCCTGGTTTCAGGGTTCCAGCCACAGTGGAGAGGGGTCCCTGGGGGTCCCCTGGAGCCCAGCTATTTGCATCTCAGGTACAGCCATCCTCCCCAGAGCTCAAAAGTCTGTTCACCCCCTGCATTTGCTGAACACGCTGTGGGTGAGTGCTTCCCAGAAAGGAGTGTGAGTGCATGTGAGTGTGCACACCTGCAAATCAGAGTCCAGATGTGGGCAAGGCCAGCCCTGAGGACCCTGTGAGGATGAGAGCTTTGACCAAGAGCCTGGGCTCCCTGGTACCCAACCCTGTGGGGCATGTGACCCTCCTTAAGCTGCTGGGGGCAGGGAGGCTGTGATCTACGTAGGAGCTGCAGGTGCAGTTGATGTAGCAGAGGGTCCGCAGGCCTGGGGTTTGGGTCTTAGGCAGCTGAGGAGTCCAGGTGAAACATGACTGGGGCATCCAGTCTGGGGGGCCAGTGTCCTGGGGAGGGATGAGGATAGAACCCATGGGACCACCACAGAGCTGACAAGGGAGAGACCTGGGGCTAGTGCTAAGGTTGGGTGGGGAGATGAGCATGCAGTACCAAGCCTGCATGAGGCCTGATCCCCTAGGGCCCCTCAGCAGGCAGGTGAGGCAGGTCCTGCACCCCAACTAAAGCCTCAGCCTAGCAGGACGGAGCTGCTGTGGGGTCCTTGTGGGTGCTCACAAGTAGACGAGGGCTGCCAGTGCCAGGCGCATGCAGGGGCCCTGCGTCCTCGGGGACTAAAAGAAGCTGCCTGAGACTCAGTTCCAGTGACCAAAGGTTCCCAGGGCAAGATCCCCAGGCACTATGGCCAGCTGAGCACTGCAGCCCTACCCACAACCCCATCTCAGTGGAGGAAGTTCTGCCCATGGCCCTGAGCCACTGGGAGGAAGTCAGGCCAGGGATGGAAAGGAAATTGATGGCCAGCCCCCGGTCTGCTGCACTGCTTGATGGCGCTGGGCCGGCCCTGGCCCTCAGCCCTGCCTGCCTCCTCAGCCTTTGTTCAGAACTTGGGGGGAGGGGTGGCTTGAATCAGGGAGAGCCCAGCTGCCCACCCTGGCAGAGACTACTCCTCCAGCCCTGGATGGGGGTGGCAGGCCAGTTCTTCCCACAGTGGGTCCTCCTGACACCCACTGGAGCCATGGTGTCTGCCTGTCACCTTCCTCCCTGTCAGGTGCCTCCCTCTAGGCTCTTTGTGGAGGTGACCAGCTATCATGGGGTGCCCCTGTTTGTGCCCATTACTGGCCCAGTAGTCATCCTCCTTCCCCCAACCCCACATCCTTGCTGACCACTGCCAGGCGTGCCCCTCCCAGGTTCTTTCCGGCCAAACCTCACCCTGGATCCCTGAGTGGCCTTCGCCTACCCACGCTCTGACACATAGCTTGAGGGAGATTCTCTGTAAACAAAAGTCTCTGCAAACCCCCTGGGACTGGATCCCTGAAGGGTCAGCAACCCCACCCCCACCCACCATAGGCCCAGCTGAGCCCCTGATGGCCACAGCCTCCCAGTAGCACTGACAGCAAAGGGGTCAGCCTGTTCTCCCACCTGCCCCCTGCCAGCCCAGGACAGGTTACCAAAGTCCCTACTCAGTGCTTGCAGCCACCAGACAAATAGATGCCTGGCAGGTGGGAAAGACAGGGAGAGGACCCTTCAAGAGATGGAGCAGGAACTATTTTAATTAAGGTTTTTCTTTCCAACTCTTGTGTACAGGGAAATTGTGGAGACCAGGGAGAGTTCCCATGTGACCCCCATGCCCATTACCCTGTGGCACACTTGTCACAATCACTGCATCAATAAGGATGTGCTGTCAAAACTACAGCCCACACTTCCTACAGATTCCTGAATTTTCCCATGATCTTCGCTGCCCTTGGTGCTCCCCAACCCCACAGGGCCCCACATGCAGTTCCCCGCTTCAGGGGCCCCTCAAACCCCTTGGGCTGAGGCCCTTGGCTTGGTCAATGGTCAGGGCTGAGGTTTGAGGGAAAGATGGCAGGGGCAGTACCTTTTCACATCATAACAAGGCCCATACTCTCAACCTGGCTTTTCACTGGGGGTGGGACCTGTCCTTGAACTGAAATGACATTTGCAGATCCCACTCTTCTCTCTTTTGCTGCATGCTGTGTAAGGGGCTCTCTGGGCAGCTGCCCCCGAGGAATGGAGAGTTGGGCTCCCCTCCTGGAAGGCGCAGTGCTTGCAAACACCTTTTAGAATTTTCTTTTCCCTATTTAGTTATTGAATCATTTATATCAAATAAATGAGTGAGAACTCATTTATTTTAAACCTTGGTGATAATCTAAAACTCAATCCATATTACTACTTTATTTATTCTATTGCCCAAATTGGCCAGGCTTGGATACAGGGCGCTCCTTCGGTGAGCTCCTGCATTGCTTTGACACACCCCATCAGTGTGTATGTGTGTGTGTGCACATTAGCAACTTCCTTAACCTCAGCCACCACCCAATGATCCAGATGGATTTCTTTTCCCCCCAAACTCCCTGCCCTGGAATCAGCCGGTCTTCTGAGCACTGGTTCCTTAAGTGGGGAGTGGGATGGAGGTGTGTTCAGTGCTATGGGGTGTTTTTGATTTAGGTCCTTTCAGCTGACAGGCGAGGGAGTACAGAGCTGTGTGTATGCATGTATGTATCTGTGACATTCTCTAGGAAACCATCTGTGCCTGTGTTAAGACAAACACAAGTTCAGACCCCTGTCTCCAACGCTAACTCTTGACTACATGGCACACTCCAGCCCTGCCTCTCACATATCTGTGGCCCATGCCAGGGCCCTCCCACTCCCCCAGTTCAGTCCAGTGCACCGGCAGAGATGTGTGTGGGGGTGGGGGGGAGGGCTGTGCATGCGTGTGGGGTCAGCACGTGAAGCATGAAGCCGAGGCCATGGCAAGACGGCTTGGCCCATGCGGAGCAGAATGGGGCTACAGGGGTGTTTGGCATTTTACTCCACAGGCAGGGTGACCACAGAGGTTGGTCCATGGGCTTCCTCAGGCATCTGCAGAGCGACAACACAGGCCCCTGCAGGTGCATCCAAGCTGACAGCCCAAAGAGTGCAGGGCAGAGAGCCACCCAGATAGGCCCATCTGTGTTGGAAGCCATTCTGGAGGGAGGTATTTGGGACTGGTCCTCTGGAATTTTCAGTGCCTGCCAGTGCCTATGTGCCAGGTCAGGAGGCAGTGGCGGCAGAAGGTGTGGATTTGGGCAGCCCCCTCCATGGCACTGAGACCAGGGCAGGGGTCTTCCAGGCCAGAGGTAATCAGGGCCAGCTCCCTGACCATGGAGTAACCACACCCCAACTATGTATGCGTGAAGGTGCTGCATAATGGACCTGCACCCATCTGAAGAGCCAGAGCCTCTGCCCTGCCGTGAGGCTGCCCAAGCTCCTCCATGTCACTGGGGAAGGGAGAGAGGAGGTTTGCTCCCTCCCCCATCTTGCTGCCCAGGATGACCCCTCAGCTGACTACTCACAGGGCCACTCTCATCTGCCCTCTTCCCCGCAAGTCTGTTCTCTGGGGCCCTGACTGTACCTGCACAAGCCTCTCAGGGCAGAGCACTGTCCCTTATCCCCAGGGCAGGGGCCTACCTGTGGGAGCTACAGAGGTGATGTCAAGAGAATCCATCATATCTCCCAGGGTGGGGAGCAATGCCACCTGGGAATTAGGGGCTGGTCTGCCTAAACCCTGAGACTAACCCCCAACATCTTGGGAAAGAAGGAAGAAGTGGGGCCTGCTCTGCCATACACTTCCTAGGTTCCTGCAGGAGGGGCGTGGGCCTCAGTCTCCTGTGATGTGGGACTGTGCATGTGTGACAGGCCCTACACATACATGTACACAGCATGTGGACCCGCACCCAGGTTACAAGTCCCTACTGCGACAGTGAAGGTGGTGGCCCTGGAGGGCTGGGCCTGTGCCAGTCAGTATCTGTGTCTGTGCGTGCACAAGTGTATGTGCACATGTGTGCATGTCTGTGTACACATGTGCCTGAGTGTTTGCATGTGTATGTGGTGACTGTGTACATGAGCATTTATAGATGTGCAGGAGTGTGCATGTGTCTGCGTGCACAAGTGTATGTGCACATGTGAGTGTGCATGTCTGTGTACACGTGTCTGAGTGCATGTGTGTGTGGTGACTGTGTACATGAGCATTTATAGGTGTGCAGGAGTATGCATGTGTCTGTGAGTGCATTGTATACCAGCATGCATGTGTCTGAGTGCACATGTGAGGTAACTGCATGTACACGAGTATATCTGTTTATACATGTGCACACACGTGGGTGTGCATGTCTGTTTGCATACCTATATGCACATATGTCTGAGTGAATGTGTGGGTGTGCATCTGTTTGCCTCACACATGTGTAGCTGAGATGGGTCATGCACACAGATGTGAGGAAGTGAGGTCACTTCCCCAGGAACCCCCGCTGCCCCCTCTTCCTCCCCCCACTCAGGGGTGAGGCCCCAGCTGCATAAAGAGGGCCTGGAGCCCTGCCTGTCTCTGCTGCTCCATCCCATACCTGCCCACACTGCCTCCCAGGCCCAGTCCAGGAGGGAGGGGACCAGAGAGTCTGGCACTCAGGGGTCTCCTGCCCCAAACTATCCAGGTGCAGGTACTGGGCTTGACTGTGGTGGAAGGAGGGTGAGTGTTGGGAGGTACAGCCCCTCCCTGGAGGTGCAGGGGGCTGGTATTGTGTAGCTCTGCCTGCAGAGCCCCTTCTCCTGGGCACAGGGGCACATAGTGATCAGTTGGTCTGGAAAGGGCATTGGTCTGAGATGTGGCGAGTGGCCTGTGGCTATCTCTGAGTGTCACAGGTGCCTTTTGGTGACTGTGCCTTGCTGACAGTACCCCTGGCCTCACCCTGCCCCCCAGCTGGGATTTCTCAGCTGTGACTGCAGAAGACACGAGGGTGCCCATGAAGGAGAAAAGCAGCCCAGAGGGTTGGGTGGCAGCTCCTGGTGCAGCTGGACCAGAGTGAGGGGAACGAAAGAGCCTGGGGGTCCTTTATAGAGAGGGAGGGATCAGAGCCCCTGTGCAGGGTGTGGAGGGGAGAGCAGTGCACTGGTGGGGACCCATAGGCCCTTAGGAATGGGGGCCGATGAGGAACTGGACTGGCTGAGGAGCTGGGGACTGGGAAGGCTGGAGTACACTCCCAGGCTGGGAACAGGACTCCATGAGACCCTCTCCAGGGACTTGGGTGCTCCTGGGGGCTGAGTGGGGTGAGAGCATGTGTGCATGAGGCCTGAAGCCATGCAGCCCCCAGATTCTCACTGGAGCTGGCCTGTTTACCCCTCAGCTGCAAAGTTGGCTCACCCAGTTGACCCCCTGTGGCTCTCAGGGCTTAGGGTGGGTTCCCAGAGGTGGGAGAGGGGTTCAGCTTGCACCGGGGCCAGGCTTTCCTTGGGAAGGGTTCTAGGGGAAGGCAGTAGGGGCTGGCTCCATTCCAGGCCACCAGGACCTGAGGTCAGGTTTGGGGGCTGCTGGGGTTGGGTGCTCAGCTGGAGCAAGGCAGCCTGTCATCCATCCTCCTGGGATCTGTCCTTCTCCTGCCCTGGCCCCACCTCTCCCTGTATGCACCAAGGTCAGAACTCAGAGTGGGAGCTGTGTTCCTGAAGGGGCTGTCCCTTCAGCTGAAGATAGTTCCTTTCTAGGGCCCCGGCTCCAGGTGCCACTACCTCTGCCACAGGAGCCTTCCTGGCTTTGGGTTGAGCTCAGTGTGGCCAGTATCGGCCTCCTCTACTCTCCCCCTCACCCTGGGTTAAGCTCTGCTGTGGCCTACAGGTCCCGCCCCCCCCGCCCCTATGACCAACATGAGCTGGAGCTTCCTGACGCGGCTGCTGGAGGAGATCCACCACCACTCCACGTTCGTGGGCAAGGTGTGGCTCACGGTGCTGGTGGTCTTCCGCATTGTGCTCACGGCCGTGGGAGGAGAGTCCATCTACTCTGACGAGCAGACCAAGTTCACGTGCAACACGCGGCAGCCGGGCTGCGACAATGTCTGCTATGATGCCTTCGCGCCCCTGTCCCACGTGCGCTTCTGGGTCTTCCAGATAGTGGTCATCTCCACGCCTTCCGTCATGTACCTCGGCTACGCTGTGCACCGCCTAGCCCGTGCTGCGCAGGAAGAGCGCCAGCGCGCCCCCCGCCGTTGCCCTGGGCCCCGCGCGCCCCTACCAATGCCTCCGCCGTCCCACCCCAGCTGGCCCGAGTCCGCCAACCTGGGCGAGGAGGAGCCCATGCTGGGCCTGGGCGAGGAGGACGAGGAGCAGGGGGCAACAGAGGGCCTGGGAGGGGAGAATGAAGCCGAGGACGCGGGTGTGGCCAAGGGCTCCGGTGGGGACGGCAAGGTGGTGGGGACTCCGGGCCCCAATGGGCCTCATGATGGGCGGCGGCGCATCCAGCGGGAAGGCCTGATGCGCGTGTACGTGGCCCAGCTGGTGGCACGGGCCGCCTTCGAGGTGGCCTTTCTGGTGGGTCAGTACCTGCTGTACGGCTTTGAGGTGCCGCCCTTCTTTCCGTGCAGCCGTCAGCCCTGCCCACACGTGGTCGACTGCTTCGTGTCGCGGCCCACCGAGAAGACGGTCTTCCTGCTGGTCATGTATGTGGTCAGTTGTCTCTGTCTGCTGCTCAACCTCTGCGAGATGGCGCACCTGGGCTTGGGCAGCGCTCAGGACGCCGTGCGCGCCCGTCGCCCCGCGCCCC